GATTTTGTTGGCATCTGTAAATATATTATGTCTAGAACTAGTAATTAAAAATATCTGGGCTGTTGTCAGCACTTTAATCACAGGAGACTAACCTTGTGTAAGTTCATTTCTGCTGCCTAAAGGTCATTTGAATGATGACTTTATACATTATGAATAAGAAAAGCAATGCACTGTCTTTATTCCAGTATATAAACATGCTTTAGAACTATGGAATCAATCATTGGCATAGTTTTTTTTTAAATTAATTTATAGTTAGAGTGGAATTTTGAGGTGCAAAAAACGTATTTTCAAATTGTTGCTTCCACCAAACTATAGATTACTTAAAATGTCTGTGAAGCAGTTCTGTTTTCGGAAAAATAAATTGTTAAACTCTTCTAAACGATGTGTCTCTGGCTCTCGAGCTTATACACCTGAATGACACTTTTTGAAAAACACTTAGTATTTTGAAATGTTGAATGTACATTTATTTTTCTGATAGAATACAGATTTATAATGTGATGTTTTCTGTATGAGTGTATTTAATAGTAAATGCCATCGGTTCTCACACTCTTTAAATGGTATTTTACCACTTCTTGCACTTATAGCTAAACACTGTTTTGTGCAAATGGTAGCGAATGTGGATTTTGTTTTGGAATGTTCAATGTCTTATACTTTCACGGTACTAACTGTAATTCATGCTCCTATTTCTATGAAGCGCAAGAAGCTATATGGTTTTAAGAACTTATTCAATAAAGATTCTAAAAAATGTCTTTATCTTAACACCAAAATATGCCATTTCTTTAAATGAGTCTTACATATTTTTCCAATGTGTAAATATTACTCTTTATTCTGCAAAAAAACATGTTACCCTGGCAATATTTTTGTAAGAACTCTCCTTAAAGGACAAATGAATATTCCACTAATAAAATGGTCATTTCCATATTATGTTTCGTTACACTGTCAGATGATCAAATGATGGGGAAAAAAAATTTTGTAGTAAACAGCGATGGCTGTAGAATAATTTAAACGACCCTTTCCTGGGCTGCAAAATGTTCCAATAGGGCCTATGTGTTGTAATTTTGGTTGGTTGAACCACCCTAGGCCAGGCCTAGAATTAATCGTACCGAAAAACTATAGGGATGATATTTCCCTTTGTCCTGAAAATGAATTACAAGAACTAATCATCAACTCTGAGCCAGCTACTTAGCACACCTGGTTAATGGTCTTTTGGTTATACACCTTCCTGCCCAATGACTTCTCTCCTGGTTTTCCTGAGGCAAAGTGAAAGGCACCTAGAAGTGTGATCTTGACACTGAGAAATAAAAAATTGAGAACACGTAACGGGAGTAGAAGGAGCTGGCTCACAGGAGTTATCCGGTTCCTGCATTGTTGTTTTGAGACAATGCAACGATAAGTATTTCTATGTTCTTTCTGAACACCTAATTCTAGGCCTGGGCATACAGGCCTCACATGAGCTACATTTAAACATTTCTTATAGAAGCTTGACTGAAACTAGAAATTAGTACTTTATACTATTAAGTCTTTTTATACTGGAAAGCTAGTTGGGATAATTGAAAAACTGAAACGGGCAATCTCGTATTAATTCACACCACTAAAATAAAATGTCACATTTATTAAGTATGTACAGGATGAGGCTTAGAAATATGACATTCAGCAATTGGTGAATTTAGCAAAATGTTTCTACTCATACCTTTTTACATTAATTTATTAACAAGAAGTTTAGACAGACACAAAAATACAAATCATCCACAGGAAAATGTCAATTGCTTTCATAATACCACTCAGCTTGAAGTGTCAAGGTCCAGATAGTCATCTGTGTGGACGTGTACTGAGTTCAGCACTGCTGTGAAAAATACTCCCACAGTTCTGTGAGAGGCTACTGGGAAATCCTATACAACTACAGATTTTCTCCCCATCAGGTGTAAAGCGCTGGAACACAGAACAACAACTTGTCAAAAATCACAACAAAACGTCAAATTTAAAAAAAAAACCCTCTGGGTACGTTTTAAGAAAACAGAGGATTATAAAAGTACCAGTACGGTTTTCAGTTCTGACTGATCACTGATACAGACTACCAACTTGGTATTTATTTGTTTATAACCTTGGAAAAACAAAGATGAATCTCAGCTCTGTAGAGAGAACTGTTCTTTTCCCGTTATGGAGAAAACGATTCGTCATGCACCCTAGAGATGAATATTTTTTTTTTCTTACTAATGAGTGCTATTTTCTTATCCGAGTGTCCTCCTATAATTGGGACAAGGTGGGACTTGTGATAGTCTTAAGACATAAATACAGTGAATTCTTCAAAGTAAAGGCTGGACCCCCAATTTCAAGTCCCACCTTGTCACAGTTATAGGAGGACACTTGGCTGAAGAAAACAGAAAATAATTGTAAGTGTTTTTTGCAAACAAAGCATAAATGCAACAGTAGCAATACATTTGTGTTTTCCCCTATGTGAACATAAGGCTCCGTGTTCCCAGGCTGGCGTCAGAATTCACTCGCACAAGAGATGCACCATTCATCTTGGAGCTCTGCTCAATTCCTAAACTGGCAGCCACAATCCAGTGACTTTCAACGGAAACCTGAGCGGATTTTGTGCGCAGTCCGACGAAGTGAGACTGCCGTAAAAAGGCTCTAAAAACGTCCTCAAAATCCAAGAACGCTCCCATGTACTTCTGGACACGAGCAGTTACCATACAGGTTCGTAGGAACGCTTGAGCCCATGTCCCGATGGGAAAGAGGCGGGATGTAATCTGTCCTCGGGAAGCCGTGAGTGTCATTGCTTCTGCGGGCACGTGTTCCTGGTGTGGCCCGGCTGGTGACACAGTCCGCAGGTCCTCTGGCGCTTGGCCCCTGGCACCTTGAACGAGGAATCGCCATCTGGCCTTCTGCTCTTCACCCCACCCTGCCTGCCGAACCGGGGGGCGGAGTTCGGTGCACCTGCAACAGGACGGAAAGCCTGAACCAGCGCGGAGCAGCAAGTGGATAAAACTCAAGACTCCAGACTGGACGTCCTGTGGGTTTTCAAATCCCAGGGTGGGACTGTTGTACCCACGAACGTGGGACTTAACCCACATTACTTCTCATACAGTTCTCTGCATTGGGGTTGGCTGTATTGAAAGATTTAGCACAAAAGACAAAAGACTTTAAACGAAAGAACAGCTTCTCCTTCATTAATACTAACTTCTTCAGCTCCCAAGAGCTCAAACCCTATTACCCAACCATCGGTATCACTGTGAGACAATTTTATAACCGCCACCCCTTGGGAAAAGCAGATGCCAAACTCATATTGCTCAATGATACAATATACTGATAAGCGCCAGGTGAAAACGAGCATACAAATGTCTTCAACGTCCAAACTATTAGGTCACTGTTGGCCAGATCATTACAGTCTGTCCTCGGGATGGCCTGCCACACTCCAGAATAAATACAGGCCTGCAGTACAACTCTCTAGGTCATCACTGGAAATTAGAAATTCACTTGTCCCAGAAATGAAATGTAAACGATTGTTATGTCGTGCTCTCCCTGGACGGAACCCATACCACCTGGTCTTTATCAGTGTAAAGCAAGTATCCAGGCGACATTCTTTTTCATTCTTCTGTGAAAACGGCTTTTGACCACAGAAAATACACTTGAAAAAGTAACTTCTCCCAAAACGTACTTATAACAATGAAAATGCCTGCATCAATAAATGAACTAACGGGTTTTCTTAATTTCTGCTGTTTTCAATGCAATATCTGCTCCCTGGAACTGCAGGCAGGCAGTAAAGTAGGCCCTGGCTCGATGGACACGCCCTGTCCTGGCTGACAAAATTGACCTGTTTCCAGTTCAGGGGGAACGTGGACGCGCCTGGCTCGCACTGCTCTCACTTCAGTTTTCTTTAGTATTGACCAAATCCGTTTCTTTTTTTCCCCTCTTTCGCCCTCGTTCTTACTACCTCAGCTCTTTTACATTCACCGCCACCTGTAGCCCTTTTATAATAATAATAATAATTGCTTACACTTTTATAACGCTTTTCTGGACACTCCACTCAAAGCGCTTTACAGGTAATGGGGATC